GAGTTCAAGCTGGTACAGCCTCTTTGGAAATCAATATGGCGATTTCTCAGAAAATTAAGAAACAACCTACCTCAAGATCCAGCAATACCACTTTTGGGTGTATACCCAAAGGATGTTCAATCATACCATAAGATATGTGCTCAACTATGTTCATAGCAGCATTGTTTGCCATAGCCAGAACATGGAAACAACCTAAATGCCTCTGAACCAAAGAATGGATAAGGAAAATGTGGTACATTTACACAATGGAATACTATACAACAGAAACAAACATCTTTAAATTTACAGGCAAATGGATGGAGCTAGAGAACACCATTTTGAGTGAGGTAACCCAGACCCAGAAATACAAATTTAATATGGACTCACTGCTAAGTGGCTTTTAGATATAAAGCAAAGAAAAAACAGCCTACAATTCACAGAGAACCTAAACAACAATGAGGACCCTAAGAGAGACATACATTGATCTAATCTACATGGGAAGTAGAAAAAGACAAGATCTCCTGAGTAAACTGGGAGCATGGGGATCATAGGAAAGGGTAGAAGGGGAGGGGAGAGGGAGGGAGGAAAGTGGAGAAAAATGTTTAGCTAAATAAAAAAAAATTAAAAATGACCTGTCTAGGAGCTCACCAAGGCCAGCTGGACTGGGACTGAACAAGCATGTGATCAAACCAGACTCTCTGAATGTGGCTGACAATGGGGGCTTACTGAGAAGCCAATGATAATGGCACTGGGATTTGATTCTACTGCATGTATTGGCTTTTTGGGAGCCTAGTCTGTTTGGATGTACACCTTCCTAGACCTGGATGGAGGAGGGAGGGCCTTGGACTTCCCACAGGGCAGGGTATCCTGACTTCTCTTAGGACTGAAGAGGAAGGGGGTAGGGGGAGTAGGGGAAGTGGGAGGGAAATGGGAAGAGGGGAGAAGGTGGAAATTTTTAATAAATAAAAAGAAAAAATAAAGAAAAAAATGACCTGTCTAGAACAAATGCATTTTATCATGGTAATGCATGTGGGTGTACATGAGTGCATGTGTGTGTGTGTGTGTGTGTGTGTGTGTGTGTGTGTGTGCGCGCGCGCAGAGTCAGAGGATAAGTTTTTTTTTAGGGTCTGTGCTGGTTAGTTTTTTATTTATTTATTCACTAAAAATTTCCACCTCCTCCCATTTCCCCCCCCCCCACTCCCCCCTCGCTCTCCAGTCCAGCCACAATCAGAGAGTCTGGTTTGATCACATGCTCATTCAGTCCCAGTCCCACTGGCCTTGGTGAACTCCCATTAGATCAGTCCCACCGTCTCCATGGGTGGATGCACCCCTCGCGATCCTGACTTCCTTGCTCATGTTCTCCCTCCTTCTGCTCTTCTTCTGGGCCTTGGGAGCTCAGTCTACTGCTCCAATACGTGTCTCTATCTCTATCTCGTCCATCAGTGCTGGTTAGTTTTAACTGTCAATGTGACACAACCTAGAATCCTATGGGAAGATTAATGGGAACAACCTAGATCAAGGTGGCCATGGGATGTCTATGGGGATCTGTCTTGATTGTTATTAACCAATATAGAAAGACTCAGTTTATTGCAAGGCAGCACCATTTCATGAACTTGACCCTAAACTGTACAAGAGCAAGGAAAACAAGCCAAGCATAAATGCAAGCAGCAAGTGAGGATCCATGCATGCATTTATTCTCAGCTCCTGATGGTAGAGGCCATGCTCTAAGCTCTTGCCTCGATGTCTCCACAGTAATGGACTAACCTGGAAGAGTAAGACAAACAATGCTTTCCTCCCCTAGCTTGTCTTCAGCCAGGACAATAGCAGAAATGAGGCTAGAACAGTGTCGTATGTCCAAACTCAAACTCCTGCAACCACTTAGAGCCCCGCCTTTGGGCGGTGAAAGCCACTGACAACCATCAAATGAACCGATACAAGTGCTTGACTAAAAATTGGTTTATGAATGCCAGAATGTACATTTCAGTTTCTTTTCATTTGCTACCAACTAGATTGTTTTTGCCTTCAACTATTTAAATCAACAATTCTTACCTCATGGGACATACAAAAATAGGCAGCGTGTTACCCGTGGGATCTAGATTTCCCAGCCAAAATGCATAGGGCAAGAATGAGAAAGGGCAAGAAATAGAGAAATGTCAAACTTTTACTAAAAATCCTGTCAATTTTATGCTGATCTACTCCCCACAAGTAATATAAATAAAAATTCAGCCACTTATAGGAAACATCATTTTCTGATATTAAGATTAGAGGCCATAGCATCTCTCTTGAGTGTACCTACTGGGTGCTTTTCTCCCAGTGGTGGTTGGAGATTAGTAGACTCCTCATGGGAGTGTATTCTCTCCTTACACTGCATTCTGGGAATCAAATTCTGGTCCTTCCCTGGGCAGCATACCCCTTAACTCACAAGCTATCTAGTTGGCCCTATAACTTCATTATGGAGGCAGCAAGGAACCACATGTAGAGTTCAAATAGGCACATAATCAAATAGTCCTGTAAACCGATTGGAATGATCACATTGGGAAAATAGAGCAATATGCTATTGTGGGCTCTGTTTATACTACTAAGGATGCCAAAGGTTAAAAAAAGTCAGAGACAATGTTTAAATGATGCTGAAGAGATGACAAAAATGGAGTCTAATTCAGAGTGAAGGTGAGGTCCAGCCATGCTTCCCTGTTCTCTTTCTGAGTTGGAAGGAAACTTGAAGTGGCACTTGACATATTTCTAAATGACAGAGCTGGAAGAGAAGACGCTCCAAAGTTCATGAGTTTTGGTGCTGTATGACAGAAAGTCTTCTGGGTAGGTTTACCTCGAGGCTGAAGAATCAAAATAAGGATATGGAATTTAAAATAAAGAAGAAGGTAGTTCAACTGCAAGTTGCAGTTCAAGCCTCAGTGCCTGGCTCAACCACAGAAATAAGATCTGCAGAGATAAATCGCTCTTCAAGTGTGCCAACTGCAAGCAGGAGCCATTTTAAAACACCGAAAAAAAGAGTGAAAGAATTATTTTTCTTTTGCCTGTATCTTTCTCCTTTCTTCCACTGTTACCCATGCTTGGAACAGAGAAGTATTCACTCTGTCTCTTCTATAACATTTTGTATTCCGCCTCACACAGGCCCCCATGCGTTTCAGGCAAGTCTTCCATCAACTTGGCTACATCCATAAACCTAAGAGCTGATATGTAACTTCTTTTTCCTAAATCCATGAAGGAAGAACAAGCAAAACAAAGCAAAACTCTTTGAAGCCAGAGCCAGATCTGTCCCCAAAGATGGGAGAAGATACTGAAGCTCTATTAGTAAAATGTAGAAACCGAGACCCATACCGCCAGAGAGAGAAATCCAGGGGCACGGCCTGCTCTACAGGGACATCTTCCAGCTGCTTTTCATCTTCGGTGTTTAAGACTGAGATATTTGAGACTAATTATATTTGAGGAGGAAAATGGAAGAGGTTACTAACTGCCCTGGGCAGCCTCTGTTTGCAGAGCGGTTCACGAAAAGTGTGTCAATGCTCCAGATGATACAGGTAACAGAATCTAATACTTGGGGCACAATAGTGTTCATCACCCACAACTTTATCCTTTTTTAACCTCAATATTAACTTCCTTTTCTTCTCTCTTGGTCTGTCTCACTGACCTGGAGCTGATGCTAGGTTGGCCAGTCATCTGCTAGACTCTTCCTGTTTCTACCTCCCCAACACTAGGATTATAGGGGTATGCCACTGTATTAGACATTTTAATGCAGGTTCTGGCAGAGTGGATTTAGGTCCGCATGCTTTCATGGCAAGCTCTTACTACCTGGGTGGGATATTTCTCTCCTTTTCATTCATTCTCTCTACTAACCTCAAGAGCATCTTGCATGTACACTATCCTAAAGGGAACATACCTCACAGAGATCATTGCACAAAGATGCTCTTGCTTTGACCCCAAGCCTCACCATCTCCTTAATAAAGACCAACAAAGGCTCATGGTTGTTTTAAAGCAGTCGGGGTTTAATATATGATAGAATAATAAACAAGCAAACAAATAAATATAAAATGTGATCCCTTGAACCAACAGACTTCTTCTTTTCCTCCTGGTTGATTTCTGTTTCTCAGAAGCTTATAGTTAGAAATAGTCTGAGAGAAGAAGTAGGCTAAGTCAAAGGAAGGCAGCCTCTTGCGGGCATTAGCAGGAACACGAACACCAAGGGGACTCAGGCAGCACCATGTTCTGGGACTTTGTGTCCACTGTTAAACCTCACTTCCACTCCTCTGAGCTAGGGATACCCTGGGCCTATTCTATGGCTGGAAACAGCCTTTTGCTGATGTTATGTGAAGCAACATGGTCATCGAAAGGTGTTGTGGAATATTAGTTTAAGATGTGTTACATTCGTTTATGCTGTGGACTATTTGATTAATGCTGAAAGATGTGCTGCATTCTTTTATGTTGCATTTGTTTAACCCTGTTACTTTGTCTGTCTAAAACACCTGATTGGTGTAAGGAAAAGCTGAAAGGCCAGTAGCTGAGCAGGAGAGAAAAATAGGTGGAGCCACCAGGCAGAGAGAATAAATAGGAGGAGAAAATTAGGCTGAAAAAAACAAGAAGAGGAGGAGTGAGAAAAGGAGAAGGAGAAGAGGACACCAGGGGCCATCCCCCCAGTCAGCCAAGGAGTAAGAAGGAAAAAAAGATACATAGAATACAGAAAGGTAAAAAGCCTAGAGGCAAAATATCGAAGAAGAGAAACGGGATAATTTAGGTTAGAAAAACTGGCTAGAAACAAGCCAAGCTAAGACTGGGCATCCACAAAGAGGAACAAGTTTCCTTGTATTAATTTGGGTGCTGGGTAGTGGGCCTCAAAGAGAAAAGCAAAGAAACAAAAACAAAACAACCCTTCAAAAAAACCCAAAAAACAAAAACAAAAACAAAATAAAACAAAACAAAACAAAAACTCCCCAAACTACCAGAGTCTTTGCTTTCTGAATCCATGTGGAAAGAGCCCTGCTAACTTTAAAGAACTCAGGGGGACTTACTGAGAAGTCATCGCTGGGAAAGAAGAGGAGATCTCGAAGAGGATCGTTCCCATAGGTCTTTTCAAGTTCTTCAATGACAGTTTCATAATCCAAAGGCTCCAACAGTCTGGGTTTTTCCTGCTGTGGGGAAAACAAAACAAAAAACCGAGTTAACCTTACACACATCATCTTGCGTCTTCTCTGTGACTGCTTTGGTTTCATTTTTTTAGCTGTCACTGAGGCACTGACACCACACAGTCCTTCCAATTCAGTCTCATGCAGACTCTAGGAACTTGGGTCAAAGCCACATAATCACATACTGATTATTTCCAGATCTGTAATGGAGTGAGGAGACCCTAAAAAGCCTGACAGCTCCCCGAGTGGTTCAAGCTGCTTGTACCAGTGGAGGTGCAAGAGATGGTCATGTAGACTTGATCTTTCCTACATCAGAAAGGGCTGCTTACTCAGTACAGTGTTATGACAAGGGTCGTCACTGCTTCTGCTGAATCAGATACTTTGCGGGTTCTACTTAGGTCAGTGTGCAAATGTTGGCGCACTGCTAGGAAGCAAACTATTGCAGGCTGTCTTCCTTGTCAATGAAGCGCGGATCTCGTGTCAGGATTAATTGCTTGGCTCTGAGCTTCTTTGCCTCTACAGAGAGAAGCTGGGTCTGTTTCTAATAGACTAGAACAACAGAACGGTACAGAAGATGGGTGAGGCCAAAAAAAAAAGCACAGATAATCACATGGTATTAAAATCCTGGACCCCAGAGAAGCAGCACACCCTCCGAGAAGCCTCCCTAGTGCAAAAAAAATTATTAATAATAAATGCTAGAGAGAAAAGCAATATGTCATTACAGAGTTGATGAGCTTGTTCCACACCACACATGGATCACAAATTAAGAAAAATGGGGCTCTTCCATGAAGGAAAGAAAACAGAAGTATAAAAACAGAAACCCCAAGACACAATGAAAGAAGTCCCCTAATGCTTTGATGAAGTATTCATGCAAATGAGATGAAAAGACTAGGCTGTACTTAGGTGCATTTGGGGGGTTGGGTTCTTAGAAGCATGAAGGGTGACCATGAAACCCAGATGCTAAAGAGATCCTGTGAAGATTAATGTTAGTATTAACTGTTCTATCCTGGCCTCCCCTAGATGACCCACCTCAGTAAAGCATGGTCCCCCACATTTTCATCTATGTTTAAAAAAATGCCAGCGGGCTTCTTAACAAAGCAGATAATATTTGTTTTGATGATTTTCCAAAGATTACAAACAGCAAAATATGAACATAGTGGCCCAAAAGCAAAGATAGCCATCTCTTTTTTTCTGGTTTAAAAGAAAAACAGACAAACATACAAACAAAGTCCTAAACAAAGTCCTAAATGGCTTAAATAAACTGGCAAGGGGACTGCTCTCTTTGGAAGGGTCCATCAAGGAAACTGGATGCTCACTGGGACGTTAGAAGAAAAGGAGTTGAATTGCCCAACACAGTCTGTTTTCTGACGGTGGTAATTACCACACAGTTGGGGTAGAATTTATACAGGCTCTGTGGAAGTTTGGAAAGTCTTCATTGGTCTTCTGCTTTTTGATGCTTTTCCATTCCCACTTATTTCTGATTCAAAATTTCTTATTTCTCAGTCAAAAACTAATTACAAGGAATACAAATTGAGAAGGATTATGCCATGTGTGCATATGTGTGCTTTCGTGTGTGAGGATGAGCATGGCTGTACACATGCAATGGATGCTGGAGGTTGACGTCAGTGTCTCCCTACGTCACCATCAACCTTAGTTTTTGAGATAAAAAATTGTTCAGTGAGCCCAGAGGTCGCTCTCTTGGCTAGGCTGGATGGCTAGTGAGCTCCCAGGATCCTCCTGCTTCTGTCTCCTCAGGGCTGATGTTAAAAACACGTGGTGTGGGTGCTAGGAATCGAACTCTTGTCCCCGGACTTGAGCAGCAAGACTTTGCCCACTAAGCCATCTCCTGAGGTCCATCTTAAAAATGACTGAATGTCTTTAAGCAGGACAGCCCCAGTTCTCAGTTATTTTATATTATCCCGGGTCCTGCCACAACCGAAATTTATGTGAAAAGCTACCGTTTGGATCTTCAAAGCATAAAACAATTATTCCACTCTCTTAGCATTTCTGAGGAACACATCTGAGGTTGTCCTTTGTCTTTCACCTGCACAGGCACACATGTTCATATACACCTACATACATGCATATGCATACATGTTCATATACACCTGCACACATGTAAACACATACATGTTCCTATACACCTGCACACATGTTCCTATACACCTGCACACATGTTCATACACACCTGCACACATATTCATATACACCTGCACATGTGCACAAATGTTTCTATACACTTGCACACATGCACACATGTTCATATATATCTATACACACATCTGCATCCCATACAACCATGAATAAAGAAGAAATGGGAGCCAAAAGGATCTTTCAAGGAAGACTTTTCACTGAAAAGCAAACCATAGCGAAAGTTAGTATTATTCAAGTTACTACAATAGGCACATTGGAGGTCCAGAGTCTAAGGTTATAGATACAACAAATCACAAACCAAAACCTAAACTCTTCTTGATAGATCCGTAGAAGGTATGCACGGTGAACATTTGGAAAGACACATTTTTATGTATCTGGCTCAACTTTGGACACATCAGGGAATTTATGAATGATATCCCCAGGCCTTTCCTATTTTAGATAGTAGATTAAAATTATTTTGACCTGGGGAATCTCAAATCTAGAATATCTGCTCCTTAAGCTTTGACTGGGGAAATACATTGTAAACTGTTGTCTTTCCAGGGATCTTCATAATGAGTATCACTCAAGCTACTCCACTTTTTTTGTAGGTTTTCTTTGCATATTAATTTAGCAAGTAAGTTGCATTGAAGTGACAAGAGATGTAGTTTAGCTGGTAGAGTCCTTGCTAAGCATGAGTGAGGCTACAAATCCCACCCTTACACCTCTAACCCTAGCATTCAGGAGACAGAAGTAAAAGTAACAGGAATTCAAAACTCACCCTAATCTAGGTTGGTGAGTTCAAAGCCAGTCTGGGACACAGGAGACTGTTACAAACAAATAGCCCAAAATGACACTAATGGGCTCACAGTCCTTACAGGCTGAGATTTGACAAAGCCTGTTTGGAGACTTTCTGTGTCTGTGGTGATGAGAGCCCAAGGGTAGACAGGTAGCACTGATCTATTCCTGAGAGAATGTTGAGCACTGAAGACACTTCACTTGGAGCTTGTTTTCTTCTTGATAAAACTGGCCTTTGGGCAAGGAACTGCTCATACATCAACCACTGACAAAATGCCCGATATCCAGACAGGACAAGCAGGATACAAGAAAAAAGACTGTCAAATCTTGCCAAGACAGGGTAAGACAGTTTTGAAAAATTTCCTGCCTCTGATAATGGTCTGTTAGTTACTCTAGGCCTTAGCCAAAGTTGGTTGCTCCAACATTGCAAATGAGACTTTGGGCGATTGCCCAGGTAGCCAGTTGTCTCTGTCATTTGTTGTACATTTTGGAAGATGCCTGAGTGCACTTCCTGCTTACTCAAGTAGTATTATTTCCTTTCTCAGGTCTTCGATGGGGTTGAAGACTAGATAGTCGTAGTTACTTTCTTCTCATGACTTGGTCAAGTTATTTATAATACAAGACTTAGACTCCTTAGGATAGGACAATTATTGAAACATTTATCACATTTCTTGTTTGATATTGTTTATGCTGGTTGCAATTCTAATTTTTATACTTGATATTTGTTCTTATTGTATATAATTTTGTATTAGGCTTAGAACTCTCTTATTTAAACAAAAGGGGGAGGTGCTGTAGGAAATCCTTCAGCCAGTAACCTTTAAGCTACCTGCCCACTTGGGCGTGACCTTTTATACTATAAATGCTGATGTAAAACTATGTACACTCTCTTGCTCTTCCAGCTGCTGGATTCGGTTGCTGTTCCCCATTCGAGCAGATGACTCTGATCTGTGAGTCTACCCCTAAATAAATAACCCTTTATTACACTCAATTCTGAGCTAGTGTGGGATTTCTTTCTAGTGTCCGTCTTCCGTTGTCTCCAAACCAAGACATGAGATGTCTGCTCAGCATCTTGTTCAAAGAGAAAGACACACTAAGGGATGGTGAGATCAGTTTTTTTCTCACTCTTGCTCTCTACAGAGACTCTAAGTTGAGCTAGGAACTGAGAAACATCGATTTAAGGCTTTAACAAGGATCAAGCTGTCCCTCCTGAATTTAATGGGCCTGTTTCTTCTGGAAATACACCAAGTGGGATCAGGTATGTGCCAAGATTACCCTGAATTGGATTGCATTTTTATAGTGCTTTTTACTTTTATTCGTTCTCTCAAATGAGCAATGAATTTCATTAACTATTCTAAAGTCACCATGCCCGGGAAAGGCACCCACCAGCACCTGTTATTATGGGGCAGGGGAAGTTGCACCACAGCGGTAATAGGCCCTATTCTTCTTATTAAGGGATTTGTTAGAACTGCTTTCCCAAATCCACAGCTCTCTTTCAAATCAACTTCACAGCAGAAGAATGGGCTCCTGACACAAAAAGCAAAAGCTTTCTTCCACTGTACTTACCCACAACTTCTAATGTATGCTAACATAACATCAAAGCCTTGGAGTGGGGAAGCTGCCATCTTGGTAGCAATCCAGTCTGTCAAGGCTGTTCAATTGACAAGAAACAAGTAGACTGTCCATGTCCTAACTGAAGGCTTTAATTTCTTGTAAAAAACAGTATCACAAAAATCTGAATTGTTTTCATTGGAGCAATTCAAAATCGACTGGGTGAAAAAAAAGGACACTGAAGAAAATAAGCATTTGAAATGTATTACCCTTAAAGATCACATGACCGAATTGCCAGCCTTTCTCCAGAATAGAAGTACAATCTAACTAGAAATTAATGTCGACTATCTAGCCTCGTTGTAGTAAAGTTCAAAGTCTATGGGAGATGGTGGTTGTAGGCTCTCTATGAAAAGAAAAAGCAGTGAGAATTTCTGCCTCACCCTTATGGGCAATGAGACCATCGGCATGGTGATTAAAACCCTCATCCTTTAGTTTATATATGTGTATAAGACTTAGCAGAGGTGATCTCA